AAAATTTGGGAATCTCAAAATTCAAAAATGAATATAAACGAAATTCAAGGTCCAAGTACACAAACTGACAATACATTTTTAGTTAAATTTATGACAGATTTCAACAGTTCTTGTCAAACTTTATTAAAAACAATCCTTGACAAACAAATTAAATTAGAAAACGAGGTAAGCTCAATTAAGCAAGAAAACTTGTCTTCTCACAGACGAAATGATAATCAGTGTCATTCTTGTCGTCACAGATCAAAAAGTAGGAACAGATATAATAACGATTCTGACAAATTATTATGCTCATATCATAAACGTTTTAAATTGAAAGCATTTAAATGTAATGGCCCACCTTGTTTATTATATGATTCATTTAAAAATAAATCAAAAAACGAATAAGATCAACTATGAACTGTTTGGGAGAAGGAAACATATCTTCAAAAAGACTTTTTGTTTTTGACAAAATCAATAATTTAAATTTTTTAATTGATAGTGGAGCAGAAGTCAGTGTTTTACCAAAAAATATTTTCAAAGGTAATGATAAAGATAACAATTTTTTATTAACGTCAGCATCAGGCAATAAAATTTCTACTTTTGGGAAAAAACTATTAAAAATAGATTTAGGTTTACGTAGAGAATTTCTTTTCGTTTTTATTATTGCTGATATTTGCAAACCAATATTAGGTGCTGATTTTCTAACACATTTTGGATTGCTAGTTGATTTAAAAAATAAGAGAATTTTAGATAACGAAACTTCACTAAGCTCAAAAGGTAAAATTATGAATATAGACAAAGTAGATTTTCCCAAACTTTTTATAGTTGAAAATAAATATACGGAAATTTTTAAAAAATACACTAATATATTTTCATCACCTAATTTTCATTTACCAATTAAACATAACATAGAACATCATATTATTACAGATGGACATTTACCTTACTGTAGACCAAGACGTCTAGATACACAAAAATTTAATATTGCCAAAAAAGAATTTGATAATATGATAGAATTAGGTATATGCCGTCCTTCTTCGTCATGTGTGACATCACCGTTACACATGGTGCCTAAGAAAGATACAGCCGATTGGCGTCCTTGTGGCGATTATCGTTTCTTAAACAAATTAACAATCCCTGAAAGATACCCATTATCGTTAATATCCGATGTTAACATTAAAATCCATGGATGCACCATTTTTTCTAAAATAGATTTAGTGAGAGCATATCATCAAATTCCTGTCGCAAAAGAAGACATTTTTAAGACCGCCATTACTACTCCATTTGGAGCTTTTGAATTTTTAAGAATGCCTTTTGGATTAAGAAACGCAGGAAATACGTTTCAGAGATTTATCAATGAAGTAACTAGAGGTCTTGATTTTATTTACGTTTATTTAGACGACATTTTGATATTTAGTAAAAACGAAGAAGATCATTTGAAACAGCTGGACATTCTGTTTAATAGGTTAGATTCTTTTGGCGTAAATGTCAATCCTTCAAAATGCATGTTTGGCGTCAAAGAAATTAATTTTTTGGGTTACAATATCTCTGCTAAAGGAATGTTACCTACAGAGGAAAAAGTTAAAGCAATAAAAGATTATAAAAAACCAGCTACTCTTAAACAATTACAACGATTTATAGGTATGATAAATTTTTACCATAAATTTGTTCCTAAATTTGCTCAAATTATTTGCCCATTGCATGAATTTGTTGCTTATCTTAATAAAAATAAATTCAAAAATATAGAAAATTGGCCTGAGGAATACGAAAGAAGTTTTAATGAAGCCAAAGACGCGCTTATTAAAGCCTCTTTACTCGTACATCCACAAGAAGGTGCCGAACTATCGTTAACCACTGATGCCAGCAATTCATGCATAGGTGGTGTATTAGAACAAACTATAAATAATGTTAGGCAACCAATAGCTTATTTCTCTAAAAAACTTTCAAAATCACAAATCAATTATAGTGTATTCGATAAAGAACTATATGCGATTTACATGTCAATTAAACATTTTAGACATATGCTTGAAGCAATGGATTTCAAAGTTTTTACCGATCATAAACCAATTGAAAGAGCAATCCATTCAAAATCAGAAAAATCACCACGACAATTTCGTTATATCGAATATATTTTACAGTTCACTAACAAAATAATTTATGTTGGTAGCAAAAATGTAAGAGTGGCCGATTTTTTAAGTCGTATTGAAGAAGACGAAATCATAAATATCAATGCTAAAAAAGACGGAATTAAAGGCAATGATATTGCAAATTTTAATTTACATAAATTTATTTCAGAACAGAAAATAGACATAGAATTATAGTTCTTATTAAAAAAACAGAATTCAAGTAATAAAAAAGGAAGAAAATTTTTCTTAAGCAATGTAGAGGTTGAAACCCCAAAATTGAATCTTTGGTGCGAAACTTCAAAGGAAAAGAGCAGACCATACATTCCTAAGAGTTTACGTTATAGTATTTTTTTAAAGTTACATAACATAGCTCATACTGGATGTAAGGCCACTGTTAAATTAATAAATTCTAGGTATTTTTGGCCAAGGATGAATAAAGAAATTTATTCATGGTCAAAATGTTGTATTAATTGTCAAAAGGCGAAAGTGCTTAGACACACAAAATCACCTCTAGGAAATTTTAAAATTCCAGAAGGAAGATTCCAACATATCCACGTAGACTTAGTGGGTCCTTTGAAACCTTCAAGAGGTCATAATTATTTATTTACTGTTATTGATAGATGTACTAGATGGGTAGAAGTTTATCCACTTAAGAACATCAGTTCAGAATCAGTAATCAAAGTTTTATTAAATCAGTATATAACACGCTTTGGTGTACCAGTGTATATTACTCATGACCAAGGCAGTCAATTTGAATCTAGTATGTTCAAAGATTTTAGTAAAAGGTTAGGATTTCAAAGTATCCATACAACTACTTACCATCCTCAAGCCAATGGGATGATAGAACGTTTTCATAGAACACTAAAGGCATCGTTATCTGCAAAATTAATTTCGAATAATTGGTATGATGAATTACCTTTAATATTATTAGGGCTAAGATCTGCTATAAAAGAGGACTTACAATGTTCTTCTGCAGAATTGGTATACGGCCAAACTTTACGTTTGCCTGGTGAATTTTTCACGTCTTCAAATGAAGAGATAGATACTCATTCAATATTAATTAATTTGAGAGAAAATTTCAACAAATTAAGACCAGCTCCAGTTCAGGAACACGGTATAAGGAAAACATTCGTTTCTCCAGAATTAGAAAACGCAGAATACGTTTTCTTAAAAGTTCAAGGCATTAAAGCCGCTTTAAAACCTTGCTACGAAGGTCCTTTTAAAGTTATTCGTAGATCTGATAAACTTTTTACAATTTTAAAAAATAATAACGAATTAGTTATCAATATTGATCAGTTAAAACCTGCATTTTTATTATCGGATAATAATGAATCTATAAAAGAAGTTAAGAAAGTTACATTTGCATTAAATTAAATAGTTCATTATTTTTAGTTGTTTCATAATTTATATGTTATTTTTTTTTTTAAGAGGGGAAGTATTGTAGTGCTTCGTACTACATATTACTCTTCTCTCTGTCATAATTACGTTGATAGATAAATGTTATAACCTTAAACCAGTCATCTCCACTTTGTCATTTCGACGTTTTATTTTGTTATGTGAATGGCACTTTAGAATGTTTCGTGGTGGCATGAGACTCAATCCTGTTTCCTGCCAATGTCATAGAATTTCAAAGTTGATGACATTGGAAGTCACATCTGTTTTTGATTTGTAGTGTAGTAGGTGGAAAAACAATAGAGTATGTGGTAGATAGCTGTGGAAAAGAAAAAAGAAAGAGCAGAACAGCAAGAGACAAAAAACATCAACAAATTATTTTTTTGGATTTTTTACATTTTTTGAAGTAACATGTTCTTGACCTTTTTAATAAAAGAATTTTAAAAAAGAAATTTTAATTATATAGTTATTTTGATACAGAGAATACCTATAGAGACACTTTCGCGAACATTCCAGGGTCAACGAGATACTATTTCTAGAACGTGATAACGTTTCTGGTACATACTGGCAATTTTGGTGAGGGAGCTTTCTAGACCACCAATTTGTATATAAATTGGTGGAGGAGAGCTATCAAAATCAGTTAGTAGATGGACAGTGAAGATAAATAGTAGTTAGTAGATGGACAGTGAAGATAAATAGTAATTAGTAGATAGACAGTGGTGAATATAAATAGTGATCAGTTTAAAGACATTCGAAGTATATATAAATTAAAATAATAGTGTTATAAATAAATAAGTGTTTAAATAAATTATTTACAAATAAACTGTTGTTTGAAAATAAACAAACTTCACAATACGGCATCCGGGCCGCCCCCTGAGTTAGAATTTGCCTTCCAACAATTTACACTCGATGAACAAAAGACGTGCCAAATAGAAAGTGATTTATATCCTCGAACAACGCAACAAACTATTTAAAGAAAAGAATAAAAAAATATCAGTGTATTTTACTGAATCCGTGTCATTACTTGTTTTCTTTTGGTAAAAATGTGTCTTTTTTTATTAATGTAATGACGTTGTAGGATTTAATGTATGGCGTATTAGCAGTACATAATATCGTTTCTGTTGATACGTCACCCAAATTAATCCCCGTGAGTTACCGTGTCGATGAGGGTGGGTGGGGTTTTCCTCATCTGCAAGTCAAATGGCACCATCATTCATCTGTAAGTCGCCCAGAAGCGCATCGGTAAATTATAATAGCCGTCCCTACCGCGCAGGAGCTCTGCTTATGGGGTTAAAAATTCACTCGTACGAGAGTGAGTAGGGAGAGTATTACTAACTACATTTAATGTTTCTTATAATGTAGGTCAAAAATATTGCTAATAAAGCAAACAGATTCTCAAAACAAGAGTGATAATAATTTAATTGTACCAAAAAAACTTCTCTACTGATACAATCATCATGTATCTTATTTGATAACGTGTTTAATATTTCTTTTTTTTTTTAGGAAAGAAAAAGCATCACCAACATACTGCATAAAAGACATGAAGGCTATTTTTGAATCAAAGTCAAAACAGTAACTTGTTAAATATTATTATATAAAAACATTATATTAGGTTATTAGCAAAAATCTGAGATATAGCGAATTGACCAAATGTTATTTACTTTGTAAAGATAAATTTTGAAAATCTGTATATATTTTTTTAGTGTTTTTATTTTAATTTTATTTGTATCATTTGTTTTGCTGCCTAATTTTTAAAACAGGTTCTCGCACTCAAAGAGTACTTTCAAGTCAATACATTGAATGAATGTATGTCGGTTTTTTTTTTTTCGACACGGCCTGTTCAAAGCAGTGGCGCACATTGCGTACTCAATATTTTCGTTTATTTTTAGATTATTTTTTCTTTTGCATGGGAAGTTAATTTTATTCCGGAACATTTAAAAATCACAGATTTTTGTGCACTGAATCGGAAAATCAAATTATTAGTTTCAATAGTTTGAACAATAAAAAATATTTCCAGCGTATCTATAAAAATTATTAGGTATATTTATATTAATTAAACTTAATAAACTCAACAATTCCGCATCTAAAATGAACAAAGATATTCCGAATATTAAAATGATACATTGGGGTAATTTAATGATAAATTTGAATTCAAATCAGTTTAATATCAGAATAAATTTGTCATGATTTAATATTTAAGCGATAGAAATTTCAAAAGAGATGAACAAATAATAATTAGTATCTTTTTTATACGTATTTTCTGGGAGACTGAATAAACATATTTTCGAACTTGTATTTCACAAACTAGCCAAAGGACTGAATAATTGGATCCGCTGCCATATTCGGTCAGTATTAAGCACAGTGGAAAGGCGATTCAGTGATTATAATCTTGATTGAGAGTTTCATCGGGGTCAGATCAATGACGATTTCGTGAGAAGGGTGATGGATGGGTTTATTTTGGTGATGATTAAACAATTCTCGAAAGTTTTCACATATTTTTGAAGAACCATAACAAACCTATTACAATTTTTTTTAAATTTAATACCTCGATTCTGTGCACAAAATTACGAATGAAATCAAACATCAGATCTGTGAAATTATAAAGTTACTTTTACCTGAAAACTGTTGTTTTAGCAATAAAATATTTACGATAATTATTAATAATAACGCTAAAACTTAAGTAAATTAAAAATATAATAAATAATTCCGAATTTCTGGAAATTATAAACAGAGCTTGTATGTACCTAATTTCTTTTAAATACTAGAAAAGATTACATTTGTTATTAAAAAATAATTATAAAAGATAAATCTATTAGAGAATAGTGAAACTTTCTACTTCTAATACAAAATCAATACAATTTTCTCAGCAATAGTTTAGATTATACCATTTGAAGATACCTAGCCTCTATAATTGATAAACTGTACCTAATAAATTATCGATTTCTCATACCATTTTGAAAACTTCTTTCTTCAAACTCATTAAAAAAATACTCTGTTTTGCGCTAAATATATTTTAAAATAAGATTCCTCAGTTTTCAGTTATGTAATGTAGCTTTATAAAGAAACGAATTAAATTTAATATATTAAGGACAATAATATATATTTTTCATTTCCCAATTTGATTTTTCTTTTTTTATGTTTTCTAATTTATTTTTTGAATTTTGTAAATAAATGTAACTATGCTTAATTCAAGAAAAATATGGTTATGTTTAATAAACTGTATAATCTATTAGTTTTTTATTTTGTCCCAACAGTCGCTAGGTGGGGCCTGATATTCGAATAACTACTCTATTTAATTTTTTGTTTTAAGTTTGCAAGTTTAATGCACTTAATTTCTTCCATCGTCAGGAATCTGTATTTGGAATAAATGATTTTAAAAGATTGAATAAAAATGGAAATCCCTTTTAAAAATTTTTGATGAAAACAGTCATGCAAGACGAAAATTTAGATGTAAACTTAAACTACGATACTTCAATATCAAAGAAACTAATATTTTTTTTATTTTAACTCTAGAATACTAAAATTATTTTAATACAAGTTATTACTAATGTGTCGTAAACATTAAGACGATGGGAAAATAAATTATATGGTCCAGTTGGATTTATAACAAGTTATAAAAGTAATTTTAAATGAGTAGAAAAAAAGAAAAAATCAGGTCTGAAAGAATTAATAGTAAAAAATAAACACTCCATTCAAGAAACAACACCACACAAGAAGATGACTGTCTCTAAGACTCCTCTCGGCGACAAAAGGTAGGTTATGAAAAGTTGAGAGGCAGGTCCAATATGCCTCTAAAGAGTGCAGAATGGGCCTTATGAAGCCTAAGTGCTGTGGAGCAACCCTCCTTTCCACCATGCACCTTACAGATTCAGAAGTGTTACACAATCCATAAACCAAATACATTCTTCACAATAATAATTAACAATAAACTAACTGGGATAAAAAAAACCACTAAAAATATAAATATGTGCACACTATTTGAATGATTGAATGTTGGCAATTTACATAATGATTCACCTCTGCATCATTCTAAACAAAAATTAACTATTGATTTAAATTGTTTTAATATATTGTAGAGTGTTGATATAAATATGACATTTTATTTTGATGTAACGGGTTTATAATTGACCTTTAACTAAAAAATTATCTTGTGCAAATTACCATTATATAAGAGGGGTACAGGTAATGTTTTCACAAGCATTACTTGTACTATAGAATTGAAGTCTCTATGGGTATAAAAAAACACCCTATTTGCAGTAGCGGATCTAGGAATCGTTCAAGAGGGGGGGGGGAGGGCTAAGCTCTGCAAAGATTTGTTGGCGAGATAAATATACCGGGTGTTCAAATTAAAGTGTTACAGCTATATACCGCCTTTTATAAAAAACGTTTCAGATGAAAGTTTTATAGTTTTGTGGGGAAAATTTTTTGGCTAAAATCGTTTTTTATAGCTAACCATAATATGGCCAACTTTTTTTTCGCCTAGCAAAATTTTCAAGTAGCTGTTACTCAAAAAGTAAAAGTCCAATAAAAAAAATATTTTCATCAAAAGTTTCTTATTTTTTTATGTACTTTAAGAATATGTAAAAAAAAATGGGATTCCCATTTAAAAAAACAAAGTCCACCTCGATATGGCCATATTATGGTCAGCTATAAAAAAATAAATTTAGCCAAAATGTTTCCCCCAAAAAACTATAAAACTTTTGTCTAAAACTTTTTTTTCTAAAATGCATATTTTCGGCGGTATTTAACTGTAACACTTTAATTTGAACACCCGGTATAACTAATTTACCCGGTTCTATTTATTCAGTATAAATTATTTTTGAACAACTTATTTCGGACAAATTATTTTTTGACAAATTGTTTTTATAAATAATTTTTGGACAAATCGTTTGCGGGCAAATAATTTTTGGATCATTTACTTAAAAAAAAAATAATTACTATTTTTGCTATTTAAAGGATAAAATATCAAAAATCATTTAGTTGAAGGTTATTCTGCTCCTCACACAATATTTTATTGAAAAAAAAAAAAATGAAGACAACCGTTTTTGACATAAAAGCCATCATCAGGCCCAAAACATGATAAACAGTTGAGTACAAAATATGAAAGTGGATAATGATACCTGGCTATCACTAAAGTAACTCATCAATACTTGATAATATTAAAGTATGAGAGATCATCCAATTCATCAAATGATTATTATAAACAGTAGTACCTGCTAGAGTAGTGGGTGTTAAACTGTAACAAATTATTATTATTATAATACGAATTAAAGATGATAATTTTGCACACATATTTTATTTGAAACACTTTTTCCTAGGAAAGTGACAAATATCGCACTATTTAGTCTTATGTGAAGTGCCCTATAAATATCACACGATTGTAAAAAAGAGTACTTTCCGCATAAGCTGTCAAATACGTCAGCTAGACGCATAATTTCTATTTGGATTTATGTAATGTACATATTAATAGTAAAATCGATTTAATGATTAAATTGTTAATATTGTAACGTTTAATTTATTTATAGTTTATTTATTTAAAACTATTTACAATTTATTTCTAACGTATTAATTAATTATTAGGCACTATTTTAACTCACAATTCTAATTTATTTATTACAATTTATCTTTTCTGTCCAAGACTTCATTTGAAACTGCCCGTACGTCGACATTTCGCGCTATTTATACAAAGCCCAGCTCTGTACTAGTAGTTTCTAGTCGAATTTCCGAGAATTCCATCTCTATGACTCAACGGCTACGTACCGCTTTTTCTGGTAGTTTCGAGAAGCGGTGCGTTTATCTTTATATGGCCAGCTGTAGACTTCATACCGCGGGCAAAGTACAGAGACGGCTCCGCGTATTGAATACATCTTAAAATTAATTTTAAATATCTGAACGGTACTATTAGCCACAATGGCGTAATTTTTTAATAATTTGCTATATAATTACTATTATTTATGGACATTTGCATGTCTATAAATTACATCTCATGGATATAAAATAGATATCCACCATGGACTGGACATTCAGTGGATATAGGGATGTTCAGTAGGTATCCAAAGGATTTGGTGTGCTGTCTGGGTATATAAATGAAAATTTTCTTTGGGTTTATCGGTCAAATATTTTTATTGTTTAGCACACTACATATGTTTCGGAAAGTAAAATCTTTCCATCTTCAGGTGCAGTCAATTTTTAAAATTATAGAGACGGATACACAGTTTAAAATTGTTTAAACTAAAAGAAACGCCATCTTTCTAGTTCACATATACAGGGTGGCCACTTTTTTAATGGGATTGTATTAGTGATTTCCAAACCATACTATAGTTAGAAAGTCGGTTAAATGGAGAAAAAGTTGCGTATCTCGAAGCATAATCTAGCGGTGAAAATTAATCGAAAATAGCAGGCACGGTTCTTAAGATATTTCGATAAAAGGAAATTCGATCATTTTGGTTTTTTGTTTATCGTTCATTTATTTTCAGAAATACTAAAAAATATTTTAAAGGTTTTTTATTTGATAGTAAATTTTCTTTGATTTGACGTTTTCATATTTTGCATCCAACGTTTCGTATTCTCCAGACCACCATCAACTTTTTTTTTTAAATATGGGCCTGGGTATTTTATAACATTATTTGAAATAACTTTTTATCCTGCATCCAGCGGTGTATTACACAATGGTATTCACTGACAGTTTTTGGGTAATATGGACCGTAATCCAAATTTTATTGGTACGGATCATCTGTATTGAATTTATAATCATATAATAAAATATTTTTTTGGAATATGATTCTTAAAAGCCATTTTTGTACAATATGAACACTATTTAAGAAACAGTCATTTACTCCACCCCACCCTAAAATACCATAAGAAAGCAGTGACTCAACCAGTGAGAAATACAAGACTTTTAATTCCTCAACTTCAAGAATTTTCTTTAAATACCTAAATTTTGGCAAATGACCTCTTATTTTTTTTTACTATTTCCTTACATTGTAGATCCCATCTCATATTACGATCAATTGTAATACCGAGGTATTTTACTTTCTCTGCTTCTACAAATGTGGTTAGTCGTCCCGATGTTCAGTGGCCCCAAGTTAGGTAACCCAGTTAGGTAGGATGAAAAAGGTAAGTAGTTTGTTTTACTAGAGTTTTTCTAACACCGAGATGTCCTCCTGATGGACTGTCGTTGTAACTGACGAAGTACTTCGGCTACTCTACTCCTTGGAACGACCAACTGTCTTCTGTTCTCGGAACCATCATCATTTTCAAGTACTCGCTTTAATAAGCCATCTGCCAGGATAAAGGAGTCCCACTGAGCCAAATACGACTTAAGTACTGGAGAGAGATTAGATACTTCTTGCCAAGTAGGTCGACGATTTTCCTCTTTCCATTGTCGAATCTTCTTTAGAACGGTATCGTTTTCTTGTTCTTCCCTAATTTTAGCAGGGGCCCACTCATCGTTGACTACTGTTGTTCTTAGTAGTTCACTTTCTTTGGACTCCGCTTTGTTGCAGTGCGAGCACTCTGCTGAACACGGTCTTCTAGAAAGAGAATCGGCATTTCTGTGGCTAATTCCGGCTCTATGTTCGATCTTAAAGTCGTACTCCTGAAGTCGCTCAATCCATCTGGCGATTTGACCCTCCGGATTTTTGAACTGTATCAACCACTTAAGAGCAGCATGATCGGTACGGATTAAGAATTTCCTTCCATATAGGTATTGGTAGAAGTGTTCTACACATTTCACAACTGCCAGGAGTTCTCTTCTCGTTACGCAGTAATTCCGCTCAGGTTTCGAGAGTACTTTACTAAAATAACCCAGGACTCTTTCTTTTCCCCCTTGAATCTGTGAAAGCACTCCTCCAATTCCCACATTACTGGCATCAGTATCCAGGATAAATTCTCCCTCTGGTAGTGGGTAGCTTAATATTGGCGCTGTTGTTAAATGCGTCTTTAAAGTTTCGAAGGCAGTTTGGCAGTCTTCGTCCCAGCAGAATTCTCTTGCTTCTTCTGTTAGTCGCGTTAGTGGTTTAGCAATATCAGCAAACTTCTTTATGAATCTTCGGTAGTACGTACAAAGCCCAAGAAAACTTCTTATTTGGTGTTTATTCTTTTGGTTGTGGCCACTCTTTGATAGAAGCGACTTTTTCCTTGTCTACAGCCACGCCATCCTTGCTGACTACATGACCCAGGTAATTAACTTTATTTTGAAATAGCTGGCACTTCTTGGGGTTTAGCATC